CTACTACCGGAAGAGGAGGCACGATTTCCAAAATTCGAGACCCGGGCTACGGCAAAACACCTCGTTGAACCGATGAAAAAATTTGGATCGCTGCAAAGGACTGCAGTTAGGGCACTAGGCTTTGGAGATTTGTTGAAACTGAAGGTCGAAGACACGCCTCTGCGAATGGGGCATTGGTTGATGAAGAACTTTGACGGAAGTTCAAAGACGTTAAATCTAGGAAATGGCCAGTTGCTAAAGATAACAGAAGAGGATGTGGAGGCAGTTCTTGGATTTCCACGAGGACCCCGGGAGATTAAAAAGAGGGGCCGGAATGCGAAATGTGCCGAGCTTGATGCATGGAGAGCAGAATACGAAAAGGGGGACCACACAATAACCCCTTACATGATAGGGTTGTTGTTAAAAGAGAAAAAAGATGGTGGAATTTGGTTCAAGAGGCACTTCACAGTCCTAGTGGCAAGCGTCCTAATCTGCATCCAACAAAATGGGTACGCAAATCAATCAATAATACACGAGCTCAAAGATGTGAGCAAGATAAGGGAACTGAATTGGTGCAAGTATCTCATAGACGAGCTAGTTGAATGCCACAACAAATGGGTGACAAAGCAGCACAAAAAATTTACTGGACCATTGCTATTCGTAACGGTAAGCTTAGCATTCTGTGTGTAATTAATTTTAGTATTGGCGTGTGGTTGAATGGTAATCTGTGTATTGAGTATATGATTATGATAATAACAAATGTTATCATGAGAAATGAAAATGCAGATGTTGTACGTGGACAAAGTTGTGAGCCCATGCCGATACGTCGAGCGAAACAGACCATCATTCATAGGGTGGACTGCAAAACTGTTAAACGAGCGTGAGTTTGCGGAGATTAAAAAGGGGGGGTTTGGTTTAGGAGTGCTTGAGACAAACGGAGAAGAATACGAGCAAGTGAACGATCACAACAGAGACGAAAACCAAGAAAATGAAGCCGAAGATGCAGTAAAGGTAAAAACTTATACGGTTAATTTAACAAGGAGCTATAATTGGTTAAAACCCAGATAGTTGATTGTGTTAGCACTTACAATCTGGACCCCGTAATGGCAGGCCATGGAGGTACGGTTTGTAGATGATGCAAACCAGGTTATAACTAAAGTGCAAGAACTCACTAAACTTGCGGATGAAGCTGGAAAGTGCACACTGAGTCCTACAACGTTCGAGAAGTTAGTGGAGGCGGGAAAGTTGCTGTTAAGAGTAGGACAACGATATGTGGCAGCGAGAGAAAAATGCAAGCACAAACAAGCACACTCCGAAACACAAGGTGCCGGTGAGGCAGTGAGCAGTGCATCAAAAAGTACCGGTGAGGATGGTGGCGAAGCTGATTTAGGCGACACGGAGACAGAAGTACAAAATGAGATAAACATGCATATGGGAGACACCGAGGCAGCATATGAAATGCCATCATTCAGTCTAGGCTTAACCCAGGAGATGCACACTGTACCGGTGGTGAGTGAACCAAATCAGGACCCCGTGATTGAAGATGATGCTGTAAGTTAAAAAAGGAATGTTCATAAATAGGACAACTGTAAAATGCACCACAAATATATTATTTTGAACAATATCAGAATGGCAGTGTGATTTTAATGTTCAAAAACGCAGTGTGAGGAAGCGATGCAGAAGGAAGATGAAGGAAGAGAAACCAGGAACGCATCAAAAGACGGCAATGATAAGCACCCCACGCCAAACCAACCAGAAGACTCATTCGTCACACCTCCGGAGGTATGTCGCGTGCTAAATCGATATAAGCTTCGTTATGGAAAATAATTTAAACTAAAATAATGTGCATGATATTGGGAAACAAAATGCCAATGTTGCGTGATTTAAAAATAGTTAAAGGTTTGGGAAGTGGATTTGTGAAATATGTGAAAATGAGTTTGAACTAAAAAGTTGATAATTGTGCATCTGTGAAATGTTTGGGTAGTTAGACTGTGAAGTGTTTGGGGACTGATTGTGCAGCATTGTGGTAAACTGCATTGCAATGTTACCATATAAGACAGATGTACATGGTATGGCTATTAGACGTCTAAAAGTTAGCTACATTTGTGAAAATAAATAAACTAGTCTCGAAAAGTTTAATCACACAGTGGGCAAATAATGCCCAAAAACACGGGAGCAATATTAATTTTAAAACACACATTTTGCAGCAACTGATTAACCCGAAAGGAAAGGACAGAGGAGACCAAGGAGGGGCCATAGAAAGGGCACCAATGAAAGTGCAACGTCATGAAGGTAAGACGACCAACTTACCACAAAACCAAGGCACACCGTCAGAGCATGATCGCATAGCACGAAGAGAGCTCACAAAATGGTACTCCCCCACCCCAAGTGAGATGAAGAAGTGGATACTCGAGAATGCAAATGCTGACAAGTAAGAAAGATCACATTACAATTCAGTACCTAATGAAAAATAATATTACTAAGCACCTGATTTGCAACCACCCAGGGACGAGGAACTCTTCCACTTCAACACCCAACGAGCATTAAGATCTGACCTGCTGACACTAGACACGGGCAACGAAGTGAACGTGACAGTTATAGACAGCTGGGCATGCGTACTAAATGACAAAGAACGGGCAAAAAAAATCATTGATCCAGCACGATTCTTTGCATCAACCAAACTAACGGTATGCAAATTCTATTTTATTAAAAAAAAACAGGAATACTTGAAAAACTCCAATAATATGAAGATTGTATTTGACTAAATATGACCATGTATGCATGCACAGATGGAAACAGTGGTGGGATGGACAGGGACACGAGCACAACAGCTCAAACTTTTTAAAAGGAAAATGAAAAGCGAGATGACTTTCAGCCCATACAAGAAGTGGACAGAGATTGACATGGTAAGTTAACATACGACTTAAGAGGCTAAGAAGTAACAATGTATGTGTTCATGTTTTAAAAATTTTCTTGCTAACCAAATCGAATTCAATGCGCAATGCAGTTCATATTCCCGATATGTAACAATTCTCACTACTATGTCATCGCCGCCGATCTAAAGGGAAGGACAATGCAAATCATTGACAACTCTTCTGCAGGGAAAAAAGAGGAAGTGTATGGGAAAATCCCGGACATTTTGGTAAGAACTTCTAATCATACGCGTGTAGAATATAGATATAAATGTGCATCTGTTACTGCTGTAAGCATAGGAACTGTGCAACTGTTACGAGGCAAGAGCTTCTATTCATAGGAACTGTGCATCTGTTACTGCTCTTTATGTGCAATATAGATATAAATGTGTTGCTAACCGGTGATATGATAAAAGTTACTAACCGTGTCTATGTATGAAACCAGAAGGACATGCTCGGGTGCTTCCTAGATGATAACAAAGACCATAAAAGGGCGGCTGAAATACTGGAAATGGAACCAAAGAGAATGCAAATGCCTTGGAGGGATGCAACAGAAAGCCCAGACAGTGGAGTATATACAATGAGGCACATGGAATCCTTCATTGGGCAGAAAGCGAAGAGTTGGGAATGTGGGCTGACCAAGGGAGACAAAGCCAAAATAGAAGAATACCGAGCGAAGTACATGAAGAAAATCCTGCTCAGCGAATGCAATGAGCAACACAACAAAAGCCTCCAAAGCTCACCACTGTACGGCAAGGGAGTGTTCACGCAATTCCGCTAAGCAAGTAAAATGTGTGATTGTGCTATTTTTTTTGACGACTTTAAAACCCATGACTAAGGACACCAATGAAAGGTTTAACACTTGTAGTATTTTTTTGGCAAGGGACAACTTTTTTTGGGTAAAGTTGTGCGAAATGTAGATGCATTGGTTTTTATGTAACAAGGTATTCTGCTGTAAATGCACACTTATTAATTCGTGCTTCAGTGGATTACACCTTTGTGCAATTACATTATATCCGAATGTACGGGTGTGTGCATCGGAGGTTACTAAAGTACAGCACTGCACAATGGCAACAAAAAATAACCCCGTAGACCGCTACAAACATTAAGACACATGAAGGTAGTGTGCACCCACGTAGAAAAAGAAAATGAACAACGGTAGGGGTGATAGGCACAAGTGTAATAAACCAACTTAAGTTTAAAGTTGTATTGAAATGCATGTTGGCATGACCACCCTTAGTCACAATGATCGGTTAAAGCGAGGGAATCGAACGTGCAAGATAGAGCACAAACCCAGATTTAATGTCAAAGTCCCAATCCTAGACTGTGCGATAGTGTTACGTTAACAAATCGGGTAATAAAAAAAAAACACAAACGGGTATAGTGCAGATGAAATACTGTGCAACATTGATGGGAGCATATGTGCAACTGTGCATAGCATTCCAGTGACCGCGTGCAACCACAATGACCGGAACTGTGCAAGTGGGATGTGGCATCATAATGTGGGGAAAAAGAATGAAATAATACCACCGTAAGTCAAAAACAAATAACCCGTAGTCCACTAAATAGATTTTGACACGTTAATATGATGTACACCCACACAGAAACACAACATGCATCACAGTAGGTGGACGTCTTAGCGCTGGTAAGAAGTCAACTTAACATTGTAGTGTTAATAACATGCATGTCCGCATGACACCCCCGAGTTGAAATAATAGGGTACATCGAAGGCGGGTGCAAGACAAGACGTGAAACCGAACTACAAAGGCAAATAAATTGTTGTACAACCTCAAAGGAAAGATATGTGCAAACATGCATAAATTTCCAGTTACTTTGTGCATCCACAGAATACTATACTGTGCAAGATGGAAGTGGTTACTGAATAAATGAAAACGGAATAAAAGAGTACCATGACCATCCTATCTAAAAAGGGGGAAATATAAAATTAATAAACAGAATAGAAACACAAATCCAATAAAAAAAACCACACCAAATCCATTATTGAAACCCAAATCAAATGCGAAATAAACACAAGTCAGTGACGAAGTAAAAAACAAAGCAACATGTTTAAATTCAAATTTAAACCAAAGAGCAATACGACCCCCTTCATCAAACGTCAACGTTGCGCATCGGGCAGGTACGACTATTATGCCCATACTTTTCACAAGTTTGACATTGACGTTGTCGACGCCCCGACTTTTCAATAGCTAATTCCCTTGTACTTTTGTAACGTTTGCCACCACCCTTGTTATTAGAGATTGGAGGAGGACAAACATTAACCTGACCATCTGGCGAAGCACCGCAAAACGACTCAAAAAGTTGCTTCTTAGAAGAAGAAGCACGAACGGTAGGACCATTCTCAGCCAATAAAAAAGCATTGAAATCTTTTAGGGTTGCATTCAACTTGGTAACATGCTCAACACTCCGTGAAGCCATGGTCACGCACGAAAAAAATTCTGCCCAAGCTTCACCAATTGCGACATCTACCTCCGAATCGCCACCACGTTGAACACCCAACACCTGTCGCACACAAGCCCCCCTTGTCCAACGTGCGATCACATACCGAGAAGGGATAGAAACAACCCTACGATCCTTGAAAACCCAGAAAATATGACGACAAAGTAACCCAACCCGTGAAAACATGTTACACGTACACTCAACACCATCATTACCAGAGTCAAAACTCACGGTGCGTACCGGGCCATCATCATCTTCAACCTCATACCGGGTTACCAGCCCTTCAACATTTGAACGCACAGCACGACACGAAAAAGATCCCGCGATAACCTCGGCTTGCACATCATAAAAAACATTAATAGTGTACACCGCAGCCGCATGCTTCTCAATCAACATCGGAGTCTGGCACAAAGGAAAATGACCCTCACACTCGGCATTTAGTTTGGCCTGCGCCAAACGTTAAGCATCAATAGCCCCTTCAAAATTGTTGAACAACTCAGACAAACTAGCATGCTGGTTTGTGCAACTACCAAACACACTATTCGCAGCTTCGGACCTCGATGTCGTGCGAAGCAATCCACCCATGAAAATATCATTAAAATACGCAGGGATCCAATACGATCTCAGATCATACATAAGACGAAACCATCGGTGGTCACCAAGGCTATACTTTTTCATAACGTCCTGCCAACCCCGCTCAAACTCCTCCACAGACGACGTCTCACACCAAACAACATCATTCAACGCGCGCCGAAACTCTTCATCTTTAGATAGAACATTACCAACCTTCTCGCCAACCTTTGACATAATATGCCACATACAAAACCTGTGCCGCGTAGTATCAAACACCTGAGGGACTGCAACCCGCATCGAAGGATCTTGATCAGTGATAGTGCAACTAGGCACACAACCCATTGCACTTTTAAATTGCTGGAGAAGCCACACGTAAGAGTCCACATCTTCACGGGAAATCAACCCCATTGCAAATGTGACACCTCTCTTGTGATTATCAACACCAGTAAACGGGACCAACACCATACCATACCTGCAATACATAACACCAAACCAACGAAAAAAAAAAACCCATGGTTTTTAGCATACTGCTTGCACAAATACATAACAATAAACTGCACATACCAGTAATAATAATAAAAAAAAACAACAACAAGAAAGTTTTTTTTAAGAACACGTGGCTTACCTATTAGTCCCATAAGTTGCATCAAACGACACCACCTCTCCAAAAGCTGAAAAATTTTCCTTCGCAATAGGGTCAGTCCAAAAAGCCCTACATAACTGATCCTGAGAATCAACATCATATCTAAAGACATAATCCGGGCAATCATCTACCTTCTTAGCATATTTTTTCACAACAATATGAGCATCTGACGTTCCAATAAATGTCATTAAATCACGCTTCAAATTTTTAAAATCGACACATGTCGCACCAACATTTGAATACGACCCAGAAAACTCCCTAGCCAAACGAAACGACCTATTGGGCCCAACGTTGGCCCTAGCACACTTAAGCACAAAAATCTGATGTTGCACATCCATGGAACGATTACCCCGCAAGAAAGGCTTAGCCACATCCGAGCACAAACAATGATTATGCCGTAGCTCAATGAAATGAACCACAAAAACCCCATCGTCACCCATCTTCAACACCAACCTCGCTCTGCACCCCACCCTATTTGAAACACGCCGGCGCTTCGGATCCACAGGTACTTGATCCAACGCAGCATCCACAACAACAGAGCCCTGCACCGCCTGCTTGAACCCCTCACGCGAACAAACCAACAAGTCTTTCACAGCAACACCCTGCCTATTCCTACGCAACGAACTACAACGTACATCAAAACCAACGAGCGACGCATACTGACGATAAAAATCAATACCGTGAGCGAGAGAAGGTAAAGTCTGCCCCTGAAAAGGCCTAACCGCCGCATCACACGAAGGCGTCCAAAACTTAGTCCCATCGGGGGACACGTCCATAACACACCCGTGCTGCGATTCCGACCGTGCTGCACAAACATCAAACAGAAATATACACACAAACACAAAACCGGTCAAAATAAAACGGCATGCATATCATTCCAATTAAAAATAAAAAAACAAGCTGCTTGCACATATCAAATAACACAAAATGCACTTTACGAAGAAAACCCCTACCCCCTACAAACCAAAACCCTTCAAAACCAATATAAAATGCAAATGCCATGTACACCGGAATGCACAGAACTAACAACATAATATACTAACAGCGAACCAAATCCAGAAACACACAAGCAATGTTGTCATCCCACCACCGAAATCCATAAATTAGCAGACAATCTATAACGAAATGCAACAACCATTTACACCGAAAAACACAAACTACCACGACAACATCCTACAATCGAACACAAACCCAGCACACATAAGCCATAATGTCAAACAAATACCGAAAAACATAATTTACCAAAACAAATTAAAACGAAAAACATAAGGCAATTGCAGTTATTAAAAAATGAAAATAACAAATACAACTACGACATAAAACCAGACCAACTACCCAATCAATAATCCAAGACCCCAGACTTATATATAAAAATTAAAACTCGATAACCAACATCAAACCACGGCACCTAGAACGCATGTCATACAAATAGACACATACTTATACACAAACCAACCACTACCCGATGCTCAGAAAAAATATACAAGAAACAAACGGAAAAACTAACCTGGAGAATCCATACGCCTTCACGCAGAGAAAGACAAAAAAATTGAAAAACTATGAAACGATGAAAGGAAAAATCACAATCACTACAAACTGTATAAAGTGGATTACTACATCAGAATATAAACGCTAAAAATCTTTATTTACCATGTATAACACTCCTAAAAATGAGAAACTCACCCGACAAAGACACCAAATAAATAGGAAATAAAAATACAAATACAAAAATGTCCTTACACACTCACGCGGAAACAGAAAAAAAAAATGACAAAATAAAAACCCAAATCAACAACAACCATAGATCACCACATAATCAACGGCCAGATTTTGACCTTAGACCTCATGTGGGAACATGACCTCATATGATCCTCTATATATATATATATATATATATATATATATATATATATATATATATATATATATTATGTGTTTGTATTTATTTTATTTATTTATATGTATGAATGTATATCAATGTTCAAATATTAAAAAACTAAATATATAAATATACACATGTATATTTTATAGTATAATAATAATAATAATAATAATAATAATAATAATAATAATAATAATAATAATAATAATAATAATAATAATAATAATAATAATAATAATATTATTATTATTATTATTATTATTATTATTATTATTATTATTATTATTATTATTATTATTATTATTATTATTATAAGGATAAGGATTAGTTAACAAGGGCAAAGTTGGAATAATTCAAGGTAATCTAAGATTACCTAAAAAAAAATGAGGGTAATCACATTACCTTGAAACATTACCGCCACATCAGCTTTCAGGTAATATAACATTACCAGGTAATCTCATAACTTAAACCAAACAAGGTAATATAACATTACCAGACTCAGATTACCTAGGTAATCAAAGATGACCTGAACCAAACGCCCCCTTAGGGCGTTTGGTTCAGGTTATATAACATAACCAAGGGAATGTAACATTCCAAAGCTCACATTCCGGTGTTTGGTTCATATTATCTTAGGGAATCTAACATTCCCAAGGAATGTCACATTCCCAAGGAATGTCACATTCCCTCTACATAGGATTTTGAAAGGAATGTGATTCCCTTCAAAATCTTAAGTAATGTAAGATAACCTTGGTTATGTTAGTTTATTATATATATATATATATATATATATATATATATATATATATATATATATATATATAATTATTTTTGTAATTATATATATTTTTTATTTTTTTTTATGTTATGTTAGCATATAAAATAATTTTGTTTCTCAAGTTCAAGATTTTAGTTAATATTTTAAAATCATGTAATTATATATGATACCGTTATCTTATTTATTTATTTTAATTTTTAAATTTATTAGAATATATGAAAATATGTTAAGGATATTATAGTGCGTATAAAAGATAACCTTAAACCAAACATGATTATATTACATACCCAATTTTAACCAAGCCCAGGAATCTAACATTCCCAGGAATCTAACATTCCCTAAGGTAATCTGATATTCCGTGAAGAGCATTTGGTTCAAGGTATATTACATAACCAAGGGAATATAACATTCCAAAGCTTATATTCCTATGTTTGGTTCATATTATCTGAGGGAATATAACATTCCCAGGGAATGAAACATTCCTAACTCCACATAGAATTTTGAAGGGAATGTGATTCCCTTCATTTTCTTAAGTTATGTAAGATAACCTTAGATATTTATAAATTTTGTCATTTTAATTTTAACTATTTAAAAGTATATATTTTATGTTAGCTTATTTTATATATATATATATATATATATATATATATATATATATATATATATATATATATATATATATATATATATATATAATCATTTTTGTAATTATATATTTTTTATTTTTATTACGTTATGCTAGCATATAAAATAATCTTGAACTTGAAAAATAAAATTATTTTATATGCTAGCATAACGTAATAAAAATAAAAAATATATAATTACAAAAATGATTATATATATATATATATATATATATATATATATATATATATATATATGTAAATAAACTGAAGACATAGTATGTTAACTGCAGATATACTATAATGGTATATTATGTACTTTCAATTTATTTATATACACATAATTTATTACCTGCAAATACATAATATATTAACTTCAAGTGTATAATCTAAATGTCATTTTGGACCGAGTTCGAAATGTGAAGTGAACTTGTCATTGTATAATTTGCCATTAGTAGCGGCATAATTTGAAATGTTTGGAACTAGAGTTCAATTAAGGATTGTATTCGATAGACTTTTTGAAACTTCCAAAGATATTTAAAGTAATATATTTTAAATTACTTTAATATAATCTTCTAAAATTTCATAAATATCCTGTGTGGTAAAATAGTTAGTTTATAGGTCAATTTAGACTTATTCGACCACTATTAACTTTTTGATTTGGTAAAAAATTCCTGTTTGGTAAAAAATTGGCCTATAGGCCAATTTTGGCTTATTTGATCACTATTAATTGTTTGGTTTAGTTAAAATATCAATAGAAATGTTTGGTTAATTAGCTTTTTGCAACTTCAAAAGGCTAAACTTCAAAAAGCTACTCCAAGCAACTTTTTCAATTAGCTTTTTGAGAAAAAAAATTATACCAAACAGCTATCAGCTAACATCTAATTTACCAAACACTTT